AATTAAATACTAAATTAAAAATTTTGAAAACCAAAGGAGAGATTAATGAAATTGAAATTAAGAAAACTATTGAACCAATACATAAAACTAAGATCTGGTTTTATGAGAAAACCAATAAAACAGATAAACCTTTGGTTAATTTGATTAAAAAAAACAAGAAAACTAAATTAGCAGCATCAAAAATAAAAAGGGTGAATTCACCACCAATGAAGAAGAAATCAAAACAATAATTAGGAGCTATTTTGCCCAACTGTATGCCAATAAATGACCATCAGTGAAATGGATGAATATTTACAAAAATATAAATTGCCTAGATTAGCAGAAGAGGAAATGAAATAAATAACCGCATTTCAGAAAAAGAAATTGAACAAGCCATCAATGAACTCCCTAAGAAAAAATCTCCAGGGCCAGATGGATTTACAAGTAAATTCTAGCAAACATTTAAAGAACAACTAATTCCAATACTATATCTACTGTTTGGGAAAATTGGTAAAGAAGGAGTCCTACCAAATTCTTTTTATGACAGAAATATGGTGCTGATACCTAAACCAGGAAGAGCCAAAACAGAGAAAGAAAATCATAGACCAATTTCCCTAATGAATATAGATGCAAAAATTTTAAATAAAATACTAGCAAAGAGATTACAGCAACCTATCTTGAGGATAATACACGATGACCAAGTAGAACTTATACCAGGAATGCAGGGCTGGTTCAGTATTAGGAAAACTATCAGCATAACTGACCATACCAACAACAAAACTAACAGAAATCACATGATTATCTCAATACACGCAGAAAAAGCATTTGAGAAAATACAACACCCACTCCTATTAAAAACACTAGAGAACATAGGAATAAACAGAGTCTTCTTTAATATGATAGGTAGCATCCATCTAAAACCATCAGTAAGCTTTACATGTAATGGGGACAAGCTAGAAGCATTTCCAATAAGATCAAAGTGTGAAACAAGGATGTCCATTATCACCACTGTTATTCAATATGGTACTAGAAATGTTAGCTTTAGCAATAAGAGAAGAAAAAAAAATTGAAGGAGTTAGACTAGGCAAAGAAGAAACAAAGCTATCACTTTGCAGATGATATGATGGTATACTTAGAGAATACTAGAGAATCAAGTAAAAACTTACTTGAAATAATAAACAACGTCAGCAAAGTTGCAGGATATAAAATAAACCCACATCAGCATTTCTATATATAACTAACAAAGCCCAACAGCAAGAGATAGAAAGAGAAATTCCATTTAATGTCACTGTAGACATTACAAATTATCTGAGAATCTACTTGCCAAAACAAACCCAGGAACTATATGAACACAATTACAAAACACTTTTCACACAAATAAGGTCAAATCTAAATAACTGGGAAAACATCAGTTGCTCGTGGGTAGGCCGAGCTAATCTAATAAAAATGACAATTCTACCTAAATTAATTTATTTATTCAGTGCCATACCAATTAAACCACCAAAAAATTATTTTATAGAGCTAGAAAAAAAATAACAAGATTCATCTGGAAGAACAAATGATCCAGAATATCAAGGAAACTAATGAAAACAAATACAAGGGAAGGTAGCCTAGCCATACCAGACCTTAAATTATATTATAAAGCAGCAATCATCAAAAGTACTTGGTACTGGCTAAGAAATAGAGTGGTTGATCAGAGGAATAGGTTAGGTACACAAGACACAGTAGTCAATGACTATAGTAATCTAGTGCTTGATAAACCCAAAGACTCCAGCTTCTGGGATAAGTACTCACTATTTGACAAAAACTGCTGGGAAAACTGGAAAAGAATATGGCAGAAACTAGGCACAGACCAAAATCTTACACCATACACCAAAATAAAGTCAAAATGGGTACACTATTTAGATATAAAGGCAGATACTATAAGCAAACTGGGAAAGCAAGGAATGGTTTACCTGTCAGATTTATGGAGAACAGAAGAATTTATGACCAAACAAGAGATGGAGAACATTATGAAATACAAAATAGATAGTTTTGATTACATTAAATTGAAAAGATTTTGCACAACCAAAGCCAATGCAACCAAGATTAGGAGGGAAGCAGAAAACTGGGAAAGAATTTTTACAACCAGTATCTCTGATATGGGCCTCATTTTAAAACATATAGAGAACTAAGTCAAATTTATAAGAATACAAGTCATTCCCCAATTGATAAGTGGTCAAAGGATATGAACAGGCACTTTTCAGAGAAAGAAAATAAAGCTCTCTTTAGTCATATGAAAAAAAATGCTCTAAATCACTATTGATTAGAGAAATGCAAATCAAAACAACTCTCAGGTACCACATCACACCTAGCAGATTGGCCAACATGACAAAACAGGAAAATGATAAATGCTGGAGATGTGGGGAAAATGGAACACTAATACATTGTTGGTGGAGCTGTGAACTGATCCAACCATTTTGGAGAACAATCTGGAGAACAATTTGGAACTATGCCCAAAGGGCTATAAAATAGTTCACACCCTTTGACCCAGCAATAGCACTTCTAGAGCTGTATCCCAAAAAGATCACAAAAATGGGAAAAGGACCCACATGTACAAAAATATTCATAGCAGCTCTTTTTGTGGTGGCAAAGAATCGGAAATTGAAGGGATGCCCATCAATTGGGGAATGGCTGAACGAGTTGTGGTATAAGAAGGTAATAGAATACTATTGTGCTATAAGAAATGATGAGCAGGCGGACTTCAGAAAAACCTGGAAAGACTTACATGGACTGATGCTGAGTGAAGTGAGCAGAACCAGCAGAATGTTGTACACAGTAACAGCCACACTGTGCAATGACTAACTTTGACAGACTTGGCTCTTCTCAACAATGCAAGGATCTAAGACAACTTCAAAAGACTTATGATGGAAAATGCTGTCCACATCCAGAAAAAGAACTACGGAGTCTGAATGCAGATCAAAACATTCCATTTGCCCTCTTTTTTTGTTGTTGTTGTTGTTTCTTTCTCGTGGTTCCTCCCATTGGTTCTAATTCTTCTTTAGTAGAGCCTCTATCAGACTGCACACTGTCTTGGGGCTGGGGGAAGGGGAATGAGGCAGGGGAAGAAAATTTAAAACTCAAAAGCTTATGGAAGTGAATGTTGAAAACTGACAATAAATTTTTTTTTAAAAAAATAAAGACTAATCAACTACCAAAAAAAAAAAAAGGTAGAGCCAAGGTAGAAGACTAGCAGGAAGTAGTGACGTCTACCAAACTACCAAAAGCACAGATACCTACCGATCTGTGAAAACAGCAGAAAGCTCAGACCAAATATTTCCTCCATTCACAGAAGCGAGCAAAGTCGAAAGTCAAGAAATAGACTGGAAAAATTTTTTAAAAAATCAGAAAAGGTTACTATGGTGACAAGGAAGCTTAAGATACAAATTCAGAAGAAGACAATAATTTGAAAACATTTACAAGTAAAGCCTCAAAAGAAAAATGTCCAATCTAGGACACAGATCCAATAGAAACTGCTAGAATAGCTAAGGCAATAAATTTTTTAAATAGCTTTAAAAATCAAATAAGAGCAACAGAAGGAAATTTGGGAAACTAAATGAAAGCAATACAAGAAAATTATAAAAAAAGAATGATAGCTTGGTAAAAGAGGCACAAAAATACTCAAGGAAATAACTCCTTAAAAATTAGAATTGGTCAAGTGGAAACTAATGTTTCCATGAGACATCAAGAAAAAATAAAATACAGTCAAAAGACTGAAAAACAATAGGAGAGGAACAGGTTCGAAGGTAAAATGTAACTATAAGGCTCAGATCCCAAAAGAGCAGGGTCTCAGTCCCAGCTTCTAAGCCACCGCAGAGGAATAAGTAGGGCAAAAATTCCAGATGAAATGTGAAGCTGAAGTTCTGCCACTCTGAATCAACAGGGCTTTCCTGGCTGGTAGAGCAGCTAAGTCCGAAGTTTAGCATAAAGTAAAGTAAACTCAGGTCAGGAAAGCCGGGGGGGGGGGGGGGGGACGCGGAGGCAGGCGACTGCAATCTGACTTCACCCAGGATCTTTGGTTTATTTTGTTTTGTTTTGGATTTTTTAAGGCAATTCGGGTTAAATGACTTGCCCTGGGTCACACAGTCATAAAGTGTCAAGTGTTTGGTCTGAGGTCCCATTTGTACTCAGGTCCTCCTGACTTCAGGGCGGGTGCTCTGTACACTGCACCACCCTAACCAGGATCTTTGGGAACCACTTTGGGAACACAGAAAGCTTGCAGGTCCCCAGCTTGAGCTGTCCCTGGGAGTCTAGAATAACAAAACACTCAAAACCACCCACCCCAACCCCCGCCCCCGCAAAAAAAAAAAGCAACAACAGAAACAGCCCAGATCTTCTGTCCAGAATTATAGAATCTGTACCTAACATCACGGCAGGTGAAGATACTCTCTATTTTAAGCCTGTACTTCTTGTTTAGTCGTTTCAGTCGTGTCCGACTCTTTCTGACCCCATTTGGGGTGTTCTTGGAAAAGAAACTGGAGTGGTTTGCCATTACCTTCTCCAGCTCATTTACCGATGAGGAAACTGAGGCATACAGGGTTAAGTGACTTGCCCAGGTTCACACACTAACGCCTGGGGCCAATTTTGAACTTCCTGACTCCGGGCCCAACCTGCTAACCACTGACACTTAGCAGCCCAAGAGTCACCATTTTAAAGCCGTCATCCATTGATTAATCAGCAAATCTGTAGCGAGCGCTTCCTACGTATAACTCCACAAAAACCACGAGACACTGAGGGGACCAGAAGCAGACCAGCCCGGAAGAGGTCCGACACTACTCTAACAAAGGTAAAGGAAGGGTCCTAGACGGAAAGGATGGCGAATAACCAACCACAGCTGCTTCTTTTTCCGGTCCAGGCCCCCACGGGGAGATGTCCGGAGGCCAAGCCGGCGTCGAGCCGAGCTCCCCCGATGCCCGCCCCCCAATCCTTCCTCTAGTCTCTCCTTCCCCACTCCCGCCCTGGCAGTGCCACCATCCCCCTACCTGTTCAGGCGCCGCGACTGTGCCGGCTCTGCCCCCGCCGACGAGCCGCCGTGGGTCACTTTGGCCCCACCGCGTCGTACAGGTGCCATGGCACAGCCACCAGTCTCCGAGGGCCGGCGCCGCGAGCTTTGGTCACGCCTCCCCAGGAAGGAGGCCCGGGAGCCCGGCGCACCGATCTTCTAGAGGGGACTGAAGCGCAGAGCGATGCGATCGGCCATCGGCTCTAAGGCCTGGAGTCCCAGGGCAGAGCAGTGTGTGCCGTAGCTGGGCCGCGGTAGGTACGCAGGCTGGTCTTGGGCAGTGGAACTGCAGGCAGCGGGTCGGGTCGAGCGTTCATCAGCTTTCAGAGGTTTTAGACGGCTTCTCTTCCCGGGCTCTGCAGACAGCCTGGGTGTTTGGAGGCTGATGCTGTTCGTGTGAAAAGAGGAGAGGATATGGCGCTGCACTGAGCTTAGAGTTACAGTCTCATTGGCCGGGTTTACACTGGGGTGGATCCGCGGTGCTCGGACTCGGGCTCTGGGCGCCCGGGGGCCCTGAAGGCTTTCGAATGAGCGTCCAGCCCCGCCCGCGAGCGGCCGTGGTTGCCCTCCCTTCCCCTTTCCCGGCTCCCGAAGTTCTGTACCTGGGTAGCTGGGCCATGTAACTTCCCCGGGCAGGAGAACTCGGGTCCCTACGATACCAGCGGAATCACCGCGGTTAATTGCAAAAGCCAAGTTGAACACCTCAAATCAAGGTAGTTTTTCCCTCTTTCCTTTCTCGATTGTGTTATAGGGAGATTTCCCCAAACTGTCTGGAAAATCCCTTTCTTGGGATTTTCAAAGACCTTCATAACCTAAACCCCTCCCCCACCTTCTAGTCTTCTTACGCCTTATATACCCACCACATACTCTTCAGTCCAGTGACACTGGTCTCCTTGCTATCCAGGTAGAAAAGGGATAGGGGGTGGGGGTGGGGCAGGAATGAAAGAGTGGTGAGGGGAGGAGGGAAGGAGCGCCTTTTCTTTGGCATACAGTTCAAATATAGAATTGTACAGAAAACCTGTGACTGAGGAATTTCCAAGCCCAAGCACCAGGAACGTATTTCTAGCCCTTGTTTTAAAAAATCCATTATAACGAAATAATGAGGATGAGTTTTGCCTTTCATGAATACAAGGATCATCTGTGCAGGCCTGCTGAGTCCCCATTCAGATGCAGACTGCTGTCCCCAAGTGTGGTGGAATCAGTTTTGTAGTTTGTCCAGTATATCTGCTTATTGTGTTTTCCTGTCTCAGCAAAAGCTTCCCCTCCGGGGACTTGACGGGAGTCGAAATAGATACTACATACCCAAAAAAGCGCTCTTTGTTTTAAGAAATCAGTGTACGATAATAGCTGACATTAATATAGTTCTTTAAAGTTTGCAAACGCTTTACCTGTGTTATCTTATTTGATCCTCACAACCTTGGGAGGTACATTATTAAGCCCGTATTATAGATGGTGAAGCAGGCCCAGGGAAGAGAAGTGACATGCCCAAATCCGTAGATCCACCCTGGTGTCTGGGGCAGGATTTGAATTCTGCAAATCATTAATATGCTGAAATATTTCGAACTGTTTTGCTTAAATAGGCTAAATAAGCCTTTTAAGGCTTATTTCCATTATTTTTTTGCTTAGCAAAAAATGTTATTGATGGTAAAAACTTAGAATTTTGTAAGTGACCAGATTCTTATTATCTTTACCCCTAAACTCTAATCATCCTTCAAGTCTGTTAAACTCAAAACTTTAGATGTCATCTTCAAATCTTCACAATCTCTCACCACCCTTATATCCAATCTGTTGCCAAGGCCTGTGGATTTCATCTTTGCGACATCTCTCCAATATGCCTTTTCTACCCCCTGACACAGGCACCACTCTGGTGCAAGCCTTTATCTCCTCACTGTTGGATCATTGCAGTAGCCTACTGATGGGTCTCTGTCTGCCTCAAGTCTCTCCCCACTCCAGTCCATCTTCCATTCAGCTATTAAAGTTTTCCTAAAGCACATGTCACTCCCCTAGTCAGTAAACTCCAGGAACCCCCTGTCACCTCCAGGTGGTTGTTGTTCAGTCTAATCCAACTCTTCTTGACCCCATGGCATGCCAATACTGTCCATGGCGTCTTTTTGGCAAAGATACTGGAATGGTTTGCCATTTCCTTCTCCAATTCATTTTACGGATGAGGAAACTGAGGTAAACAGGGTTAAGTACTTTGCCCAGGGTTACACAGCTAGTAAGTGTCTGAGGCCAGCTTTGAACTCAGGTCTTCCTAATTCAAGTCCCAGTACTCTATCCACTGAGCAACCTATCTCCAGGATCAAATACAAAATCCTCTGTTTGACATTCAAAGACTTTCATAACCTAGACCCTCCAGCACTACCACTCTCACACTTTCCAGTCAGTTTTCTTACACCTTATGCCCCACCACATACTCTTCAATCCAGTGACACTGGCTTCTTTGCTGTTCTGTGAATAAAATATTCCAACTCTCAGTTCCAGGCATTTTTTCTAACTGTCCCCCATACCCTAGAATGTTCTCTCTCTTCATCTCTGCCAAAATCCTGTCTTCTGCAAGAAAGCTTTTGCCAATCCTTCTTAATTCCAGTACCTCTCTTCTCTTAATTATTATTTCCTATTTATCCTATATGTAGCTTGTTTGTACTTATTTATTTGCTTGTTGTCTTCCCCATTAAACTGTGAACTTCTTAAGGGCAGGAACTGTCTTTTGCCTCATTTTGTATCCCCAGCACTTAGCATGATGCCTGGCATGTAGTGGGCACTTAATAAATGTTTATTGACCAACTGACTAGTTGTAATTAATGAGGTGAATTTATTAATATGTATGATGTGTTTGTATAGTTCTGCATATTTGTTTTGATTCATGATAACCTCTAGAAGCAATCCTAGGGTAATGGATAGAGAGCTAGAGAGCTGTCCTTGGAGCCACAAAGACTATGTGGCCTTGGGCAAATAAATCAACATCTTAATGCTCTCAAAGACTAAATTGCAGAGAAGGTGCCCACCTTGCCTTGGTTAAACAGAGTTTTCTGGAGTTTTCTGTATCAATGAAATCACGAGTCTAATCCTTATCCCTATTCCCAATGTATGTATAATGCATGATTGTAAAATCATATGGGTATGTATAGTAGCAAATTGGGATTCATTGAGCCCCGCATTCTAGGAGGGAATAAGATGTTCTGAAAATAAGTCAGCCTCTGCCTCCATGGAGAACATAAGTAGAGAAATAGTGAGGAGTCAATATAACTCCTAAATAGTGAGCCTGAAAAGCTGGGAGCATAATATTGCCCTCTATAGTAATAGGGAAAGTAGGAGGGAGAAAGGTTAAAGAGGAAAGATAATGAATTCTCTTTTGGACATGTTTAATTTAAGATGCCTACTGGACATCCAGGGTGGTAGCAATGTCAGAGGGAAGGGGGTATAAAGGCTGCAGAGAGTTTCACAAGGAGCTGCTCTTTCCAAAATTACTCCATTGGCTTTTTTCAGTCTTTAGTCTCCTTGACCAGTTGGGGCCTAGTTGAAATCTATAGTGGACCCAGTCAGCACAGTTTCATGATTTATTTCAGCTCTCTGTCTCCAATTCAGCAGTGTATGAGTAAGACTGAAAACAGCAAAGGGTAAGAGTAATCCAAGGTTGAGGCTTGGTAGAGCAAGATTGGCAGTAGAATAAGGAAGCAAGGGACTTAAATCAGTGTAGAGTTGAAGTAGTTCACCAAGGAGTCAAGATGGAGAAGAGACAAATGTAGCCAGTTCTGGAGGAAAGGCAGTGTAGCTAGCTGAGGGGTTAGAGAATTGGAGATCACAGAATGATAAGCAGGACTTAGGGTTGCAAGGGAGAGGAAGAAATGAGTGGAATGATAATTGTGATCCGATAAAGGAATTTCAGAGTTCATAATCAGGCAAAGTGGAACATTTGTAGGCAGTGGTAAGATCAAGAGCATGCCCATCTTTGTGTGTAACTAAGATGAGGTAGACAAGGTCCTGTGAAGTATGTTGAGAAGCTAGGAGATTAAGATATTTGAAAGAATGTAAATATGTATATTGGAAGCCCCCTAGTTACATGGCAGGATTTAGAAGAGAGTCAGGCATTGAACTCATTGAGGAAAGAAGAGGAAATCTTGGAAGTCAGTAGGTAATGACTTATCAAAATCCTTACTGGATAGTAAATATGGATTGAGTGAACCTCAGAGGATGAGAGGGTACTGAATGATGGTAGTAAAGGGAGAACCTGGAAGTTGCAATAGAAAGCAAGTATTCTCACTCCCCCAACTCAACCAGTGAATCAGAGGTATGAGTTAAAGTTCAAACAGTACTGGAAAGGGTGTCCAAGGAGGCTATGTCATTAGGAGGGAGCCAGGTCTCTTTGAGAAACAAAAGATGGAAAGAGTAAAAAAAGAAACAGTTTAAACTAAGAGCAATTTTGTCACTTATGGAAGAGGAATTCCAGAGAGCACAGTGGAAGAGGTGGGTAGCTTTAGAATGCAACATTGGGGCTGGGGTGAGGTTGAAGGGAATGGGAGTAAGGGAGTGAGAAATTGAGATCAAAGAACAGGTTTAAATAATGATGGGGGGAGTAGAGTCACTGGAATGTGGAAGGTTATGGCAGGTGTGAATTTGTTAATCATAGAGGAATGAGTTCAGGTAGATTGTCAACTTTGGTAAAGTGGAGTTCTTTTAGGGCTTTGAGCAGCAGTGTGTAGGTTAAAGGAAGGTTGAGGAGGGAGAGGAGGTGCCCACACTGAGGCAGGATCAGGCACATTATGTATGGAAAGAACTAGATGGAATGACATTTCACTTCTTACCCCAGGTGAGCCTGGACAGTAGAGGTGGAGGAAATATAACGGAATGTAAAATTACATAAAAACAAGTATAAAATCTTGCTGTTCTTTCAGAGATTTCCCTTTTGCTCTGCATAGTTAAGGAAATAGACTATCAGGTTACCAAGCCTAAAGGAATGATCAGATTTCCTCAAAAGATCTCCCATCAGTCTCTGGAAGAATAAGGAAAGTAAATCCGAACCTTAAGAATATTAGCTGTGAAATACAAGCTCATGTTCCTCAATGCTAAAGAAATGTCAGCATGATTGAAAAATTATCCACATCTTTCTGTTTCCTTTTCGTTATGTTTTCACAGCAGTCTGTGTTAATAAAGAAACTTTGATCATGCCTGCTTCAGGTAAAATTCTTAGGTTTTCATATCTTCCATTTTGAGGAAGGGTCCAGACCAGGATGTTTCATCCTCCAGACTTGGGCAGCTTTTCCCTTTGGTGAGTTACTCCAAGAACCTCCATTTTGAGCAAAAGCCCAGACTAGCCATCCTTCATCCCCTGCATTTCACCACCATGCCCCAGTTCTCATACACACCCTTTTCCCCTTTTCAGTTACCTTTTATGTAATCTTCCTCCAGTAGAATGTAAGCACTGTGAGGGCAGGGACTGTCTTTTTGTTTTTATTTAAATTCCCAGAGTTTAGCACAGTACCTGGCACACAGTAGGTACTTAAAAATGCTGCTTTTGGACTTGATTTCATTACTACTTTTAGAAGAGCAATAGAAGGAAATGGTCTTTAGGAAAGCAGGAAACAGGCATTCAGAATATATATGGAGGTTACATTAGAATTTCTGTACTGATGAAAGGTATTCCTTCTCAAAAGTCTTGTTGACCCTATTCTGTACAAGGCCGCAGTTAGATGGAAGTAGTTTATAAGGGTTTAAAGAAAGACAACATTTGAGATAGCTTCACTTTGACAAGGTTGTTTCTACTAAATACTTAGCAGTTCATGATATTCATTCTAAAAAGCCATTCTGTTGTTTTACTGCCCTCTGAGTGATTTCATGGGGGCATATTTTTTTGTTTTGATTTTTTAAAAAATAAAATTATACAAGTCTAGTAGGATTTTGCTTTCTTGTTTCCATGCAAAATTTATTTTAAGTCCCAAGAAATCTTGCCACAACACATACCAGCTTCTTTCTTCAATTTAGCATTAGATATAGTCAGTTTATAAACTTTATATTATCCATTTTCCAAATGATTATTGATTTTTGTTGTATTGACTTTGTTTGCTTACTTGGTTTTCCAGACTGCTTCCCTACCCAGCACTGTCTGTCCTAGAGCTTCCTCCTCTCTGCTTCCTTGCTGACATACGCTCAAGGAATGTGGATTAACTTTAATATTAATCTAAACAAACTATGCAAACCTTCATAAGGCACCTGATAGCACAGTCGATAGAGCAGTGGGCCTGGAATCAGGAAGACCTGAGTTCAAATCCCAGCTTCATTTACTAGCTGTGTGAGCTGGGCAAATCACTTAACACAGCCTGGCACATAATAGGCACTATAAAATGCTTATTCCCCTCCACTACCCTTCATAATTTTTCCACAGAAAAAAAATGTAATTCAACCGCAAACCTATCAATGATTCTTACATTCTTTCTCCTGCTTTCACTTAACTATAATTACTATATTAAGACTTGAAAATGAGTTTGTAGTCTTTTTTACTTAGTGGTATTTCATTCCCATCCTATAAGATGCTGAATATTCTTCAGTTTTTAAGATGAGGGGCCTAAAGCCCATTTATAGTTACATAGTGTCTTATTAAGTCATTCTCCTAGACTAGCAATGGATTGTCATCTCTTTTGATCTTGTTTTATGTTACTGGGTATGCTGAAGTGAAGGAAGGGGATTTCCCAGTGGCCTTTGCACGGCTGTTACTAGAATTACCTGAGTTGGGGTTAAAGTATAATTGTTCATCAGGGGCCTGGCTCGGACGTGGTTCAGCTAATAGGTTGTAATGGGTAAAGGGTAGTAGATTTGGTTATGTTAAAGATATGCCCTGTGATTTGCTGTTGTGGGGAGAGTGGGACGTGATCTATCTTTCCACCCCAATTCCACACAACCACAAAAACTTCAGATACCACTGTCCTAGAGAATAAAGTAAAACTATAGCCAATATAAGAACAGAGATACTAAGAAGTTTAATTATAACTCTAATTTCTTCTTTTGGTACAAGGGCCCACATTAGAGATCTTGACGACAAAAAAAAAAAAGCATTAATAAATGCCAGAATGTCAAGCTCTTCACCATTCAGAATGCAGCTAGTACACTTGGACCTTAAAGGAGCTCCCCCCAAGGTCTTGTACCTGGCAGAGGTAAGGATTGCACTTGTCTCTAGGGCTTATTCTTTTACTTTGTGTTAACATCTTAATTTTCGCTTTCTTTCTTTATTCTGCAAAAGTGTGAGTTTAGAACTACTATTGTACTTTCTCTAAATTAGTCCAGTACTCAAATGCTATATAAGGTTGTATTTCTAATCTCTGGGGTAAAAATGGATTTGTATATTGTTACCCAATTTCATTTATTAAGGATGTTCTTTGATATATACTAGACATTGTACCTAAGGAATACTTAGAGACCAGTTCTAAGAAAACCACTCAGGCTAAGTTGCAAGGAAGGAACTATTCAAATTAAAAAAGAGACTACCACATTTTTTAGGATCATAAATTTAAATGTGGAAGGAAATCCTGGAGGTCATCTAGTCCAACCCTAGCTTTTTACAGGTTTTTACAAACCTGTTTATAGGTGCGTCCAGAGAGTCTAAGGGACTGGGTGAACAGTAGAGTAGAAGAGCTGGTATTTGAAACTCTCTTCTCGGACCCACAATCCCTGTAGATTAGGCCTAATCTATATTAAATTATGTCTTATTTGTGGCAAACTGTTAATCTGAGGCTGGGTTTCCCAACATGCTTTATAGTCTTCCTGTCAATATCAGTCATCATACATGGGGAAAACTGGTTTTATTATTATTTTGAGCTGAACAGTCCAACAAATCAAATGATATATGCCAATTATAAATAATTTGGGGGTTATTCACTTTTAAAATATCTAATTTTATACATATAAAATATAAGTATATGTAAAATATAAAAATAGTTATTTCATGTTTGTGATTCTGATGTTAAAGAATGTTTAATTAAATGAATGTTCATTAACCTATAAAAGAGACATTTATAATTTAGAGAATATAATATAGTAGTGCAAAATAAAAGGAAAAGCCATGAATACGAAGTGATAAAAAGAAGTTGGAGAGAGCTAAGGAGAATCTAGATGAGTAAGCAGGTAGCTAGCACAAGTTTCCTTTTCATTCAGTTTATCAAGTACCTATTATGTTCCGGGCACTGTGGTAGGTAGGCACTGAGATACAATGGCAAAACTAAAATCGTCCCTGCCCTCAAGGAATTTACATCCTATTATAGGAAACACATGTACATATATAAGTAAATATTTTCAGTGTAAATTGCAAGGTAGAGGGGATCATAAAAGTCTTGTGTATGAAATGTATGAAATGACATTTAAGCTAAGCAGTTAAGAAAGCTAGAGATTCTTAGAGGCAGAGATGAAAGAATGCATTCCAGAGTAGTTTGTACAAAGGCAAAGAGCTGGGAGATGGGATGTCATGTGTGAAGGACAGCAAGTAGGCTTGTTTTTTCAAATCCTTCTATCTCTGTCTTTTTCACTCTAGCCCCTCAGGTATCTGATCTCTAAAAGTCATTCTTATCCCACCATATTATCCTCCAAATGTATCTCAAATTCAAAATTTTACTGGGTTCCGCCCCTTGGTGAAGTTATGTTTCTAATGCATTTTGGGCGTAGAAATTATATAATCATAGATAATAAGTAGGAAGTATATAATCATAGATAGTAAGTATGCCTTGTTCCCCAAGGCATACATATTGTGAACACTTTGCCACAGCCCTCTTTCCTGACAAAAGTAGGTGCTCCTCCCCACATGTCATTCAGTCTCACCTTAGTTGTCATTCAGTCTCAATGTGCAATTAACGTCAAAACCTCTGCCTTCATCACTGGCCACAAATTAACTTCACGTAGGTGTAGTAGTATAAATCTTCACTGTCATCTTTTTCTCCTTCCATTCTCCAACTCATTTCAGTTTCCCAGGTAACCAGTCATCAGTCCTTATAATATAACGATATCAGCTGCTAGGCAAGGGTTAGAAAGTGAGGTCAAAGAGCAGTTTGAACAGATCCTTTAAGCTATCAAATACATTACCAGATTTTGTGTCCACAGACCTGAGCTCCATCCTACCTGCTTGCTGGTTTAATTATTTTTTTTCCCACTTAATAGAATTTTATTTTTTCCAATTACATTAAAGATTTTCTTTTTTTAAAATTTTATTAGTTTATTTTCATTTGTCAACAATCACTTCCATATGCTTTTGAGTTTAAAATTTTTCTCCCCCTTCCTCCCCATCACCCTCCCCAAGACGGCGCACAATCTGATGTAGGCTATACATTTACATTCCTATTAAACATATTTTCACATTAGTGAAGGTGTAAGTAAAAATTAAAACCAATAGGAGGAACCATCAGAAAGAGGAAACAACTCAACAGAAGAGAAAAAAAGAATGATAGTAATTCACCTTCCATAGTTCTTTCTTTGGATGTGGATAGCGTTTTCCATCCCGAGGCCTCTGGAGATGTCTTAGATCCTTGTAATGCTGAGAAGGATTAAGTTTATCAATATTAGTCATCACACAACATGGCTGTTATTGTGTACTACATATAAAGATTTTCAACATTCACTTTTATAACATTTTGAATTCCAAATTTTTACCTCTCCCCTCCCCTTCCCCCTCCCCAAGATGGCAAGCAATCTGACATAGGCTATATACGTATAATCATATTAAACATATTTCCGCATTAGTTAGGTTGTGAGAGAAGAATCAGAACAAAAGGGAAAAGCCATGAGAAAGAAAAAACAACAAAAAAGAGAAAATAGTATGCTTTGATCTTCATTCAGACTCCATAGTTCTCTCTCTAGATGTGAACAGCATTTTCCATCATGAGTCTTTTGGAATTGTCTTAGATTATTGTATTGCTGAGAAGGGCTAAGTCTATCAAAGTTGGTAATGGCACAATGTTACTGTTGCTGTGTACAGTGTTCTGGTTTTGCTCATTTCACTCATGCCGATTTAATTCTTGAGCATTATATCCATAGTCAAAATTCATGTTTACATATTGATTTCAGCTAAATATCGAATTGATTGAAAGGATTAACACTAACGTGTGAATGACTTCCTACCCCCTTTGTAGGTGGTAGAATACAAATTTCATTTCTAGTCATTTATCCACTCCAAGCTATGCTTAGTGATTTATGTTTTTTTCTTTTTCCAGATCTTCCCTCTCTTCCATGCCCTTGGTGCAAATGGCATCCTCATTGAATATGAAGACATGTTTCCCTATGAGGGCCCTCTACATCTTCTGAAAGCCAGGCATGCCTACAGGTATCCTGAGGGCTATGAGGTAACCAGGAAGTCCAGGAATGGATTCATCTTAGACTAACAATGACTTTAAAATGGAAAGCCAGGGAAATCTATAGAGCAAAAAAAAACCCAGGATGGTGCTTGGAGAATTGAAAATTTAACATTTATGGTTGTAGTGCGTTTTTGGTGGGCCTATTTCTGATCTAATAGCAATCTGTAATAACAGGACAATGACATGTTAATATGAGAAAGTTAGTAAAGCTTAGGATTATATAAGGATAAGGTCTGGACCTAAGGAAACTCCCCCTACTACTATAGGTTGGCATTTTCTCTGTAATTTATAATATTAGTGAATAGCCTACAGCAAAGGTATCAGATCCTTTCGGGAGGGGCAGGGAAAGGATGAACCAGATTAAAATGTAATTGGGAAGTATTTAACAAAATAAGTAAAAATACAATAGAACATACATGATGTTGATATGTGGTTTTCTAGTCAGTGGTCTTCAAGAGTCCTTATGTAGGTTTAGTGACCCTATTTCTGTTTGAATTTGACACCACTGGATTTGACACCTGGAGCGCTGAGATATTAAGTGACTTGCCCAGGGTCATGCAGTATGTGTCAGAGGTGGGACCTAGAACCAAGGTGTTCTTGCCGTTAAGGCCAGCTCTCTATATGCTATGACATTTTGTCTCTGAGGTTTGCATGGATGCCTTTTTTTTTTTAAAGAACTTAAAATCCTTCCACATATAAAGGTAATGTGAGTATGATTCTATATGGTCAGATTAAAATATTTCAGGCTGAAAAGGAATAGGTTAAAAATCTATAAAATCATGAATAGCCAGACAGACTTTGATATATTAGAACTAACAGGGATTCTTTGAAGTCATAAGGAGGTACATTTAAGATAAATGAAAGGAAGGCATGTTGTATTTAAAAGATAATACTAGGTAGTACTAGTGACTAGATATACTATTAATATACTATTAATTAACCCAAGAGGTGGTATAGACACATAAAAGAAGTATAAAAGCTTCAAAAAGGGATAAATTCATTCATGATAATCCTAAATGGAATAAAGAAACTTAGTAAAAGTTTTTCTTAATAACCCCTAAGAAGTTGTTAGTTCTTAAATCTAATAATTTTTCAGTTGCTTCTGTAACCTCTTAAGGTTATAGTCAAAGAGGACAAAATGTACCTTCACAAAATCTCTTGGTACCACTATCAGAAACCAGATGCTGGGTCCACTGTACCACAAGTCTGATCAAAAGACATTTCTTTTGTTCTTATTCCTATGATCTTCATAGCATACCTATGAAATAAAGAAGGACAGTTACTTTAATCTCCATTTTACAATGAAAAATGAGGTACTTAGAGGTTTAATTAGAAAGGTATCTGTACTTTTCAGGGTGCTATCTTGGTACCAGAGGAAATATAAGGATAAGTAAGAAGCAGTCCCTACTTCAAGGAGCTTTCAAATGAATATGATGCAGAATAGATTGTGAAAGCACATAAGAGAGGTACAAAGTGCCATGGAAGCTCAAAGACCAGAAGGATTCATTTTAATATGGATGTCAGGGACATGACCATTCAGAATGGGAGTGTTAGGAGATAGTGGAGGTGCCAGGAGTGACCGGGGAACTTGGAACAGTGATAGTGGTGAAGTGACTTGCTTGTGGTCACACAATCAGTAGTAGAGCTAAGATTATGGTAGAGGTCTCTGACTTCAAGTCAGACCACATTGCTTCTTCCAGCCTCTATTTCCTTAGCTGTAAGTATATATATAATAAATCTACCTTAAACCTTGGAAAGAACAGTTTAAAATTATTTCAGGTGCTTCAGAGATTCTGTCTTAAGTGCTTACTTAGACCATCGTTTTCCTCCTTTTAAATTTAATTTATTTATTTTGCTTTTTTGATGAGGCAATCGGGTTGAGTGACTTGCCCAGGGTCACACAGCTAGCACACACACTGGCAAGGACTCTTGTTTCTTGGTGAGGGTATGGCAAAGATTGTATTGACAACATCTGTATTAACTTCCCCCTTAATTCATTTCTCTAGCCCCACTGAGATCAAAGAAATTCTTCATCTGGCCAAGCTACATGAGTTGGAGGTTATTCCTCTGGTGCAGACATTTGGACACATGGAAGTAAGTGAGGAATGATCTATCTAATGTGTGTAGAAATGAGGCTTATAGAAATAGAGCTAGAAAGAGCCTTGTAGATCATTAGATCTCATCCCCTCCCACCTGAGCTTCCCTATTTTTGTTGTGTGCATCACCATTTTTCCAGTCACCTAGGTTCATAACCTTGACATTATCCTTAACACCTCATTGTCTTCTCCCATGTACACAGTCAGTTGCCAAATCTTAATTCTACTGCTATAATCTTACATCTGTCCCCTTCTCTCTACACATGTGACTACCACCTTAAGAGGTCCAGAAAACCCTAATCTCTTGCTTGGACAATTAAGTTTTGTACTAATTGGTCTCCCTGCCTTGTCTCTCCTCTGTGCAGTACTACATTCTCCACACAGTTGCTAAAATTATTTTTCTGAAGCTCAAGTCTGATCATTTCACTCACCGACTTAAACTCCAATGGTTCTTTTTGCTTCTAGAATTAAATATAAACTCCTCTGCTTAGTTTTGAAAGCCCTTCACAATCTAGCCTCAACCTACAATTCCATCTTTATCGTACATTACTCCCCTTCCTGAACTTTGTGGCTCAGTCAGACTGGCCTTCGTGCTCTTCCTCACGTATGCCATTCAGTCTCCTTGCTCTCTACCTTTGCTGTGACTGTGCCCTGTTCCTACAATACATTTCCCTTTCATCTCTGCCTCTTTTGGAATCTCTTGTTTTCTGCTCAGTGGCACCTTTTACATGAAGCCTTTCTACTTATCTTGCATGTATTTTATATCTACTTATATGTACGTGTTATATCTCCTGTTAGAATGTAAGCTTCCTGAGAGTAGGAACTGTTTCATTTTTACACTGATGTGCCCAGCACCTGGGGCAGCTAAGTGGCACAGTAGATAAATTGCTGGCCTAGAGTCAGGAAGACTTATGTTCCTGAGTTCAAATCAAGCCCCAGATACTTACTAGCTGTGTGACCTTGGGCAAGTCACTTAAACCTGTTTGCCTCAGTTTCCTTATCTGTAAAATGAGCTGGAGAAGGAAATGGCAAACCACTTCAGTATCTTTGCCAAGAAAGCCTCAGATGGGATCACCAGACACAACTGAAACAACTGAACAGTAAAAGCTCAGCATAGTGTACAGCTCAGCCCATAGTTGGCTAGTTGGCACTTAACACATACCTTTTGTTCTTATACCACAGTCATTTCTGGAAATACTCTCTACCCTCCCCGTCCACCTCTTATCCCACTCTGCCCTCCCCATCCCTCACCCTCAAATTGAACCTTCCCTTATAACAAAGAAAAACAGTTAAACAAAAATATCCCACATTTTGTGTACTACCTGGTTACTACCCAGTATATGCCATGACAATGTTCTGTCCTCCTAGTCCCCTGCCCCTCTGTCAAGAGGCATCCTGTGTCCGATTTACTTTGTCTGTAATTGAACAAATTGAGTCTCCCTTCCTACAGTTTGTTCTGAAGCACAAGCAGTTTTCTCACCTGCGAGAAGTGGAGCTGTTCCCAAATGCATTGAACCCCCATAAGGAGGAATCCCTGGCATTAGTGAGTACAATGATCAGTCAAGTAATGGAGCTTCACAGAGGCGTTCGATGGTTCCACATAGGATGTGATGAGGTATGACACTTCCTGAAGTACCTAGTCTCACTTATTATAGTCATGTCTAGCCTTACTTTAAAAAAAAAAACCAGAATAGCCTTCTACTACCTTGAATTAACTAGAGAATTGTCCCCGTGTTCTCCCAAATTCCTCCTTGCCTTACTTCGCTTTCCTCTGCACCCTGGTTTCTGCTTTTCAAAAGGAAAATGGTAAAGATATTTATAAAATGGTTAACTTAGGAAATATTTCAATACCAGTAAAAGCCTTACTTCTAACTAGTGTTTTCTAAATTTTTTAAAAATTAAATCTTATTTTATTTTCAAAGACAGATCTGCCTTCTCTCCCTCCCACCTCCCATTTCCCTGATGAGAAGACAAGAAAAACAAAACACTTTTTCGTATAGTCAAACAAAACAAACTCCCTCACTGGCCAGGTTTAAACAGAATGTGTCTCAATCTGCACTGTGAATCTGTCACTTTTCTATCAGAAGATAGTTGGCATATCTCATCATGAGTCCCCTGTAATTATGGTTGGTCATTATGTTGGTCAGATTTCTTCCCTGGATTTGATCACAACTATAGATTATAACTACATAAGATTCATGAGCAACAGGCTATAAAGAGTGAGCGTATAAGTACACAGTTTTAGTTAAATGCTAAATAGGTCTTGGCCAGATCACAAGAGGCCAACATAGCCAAATGGGTGTTCCCTAGGATGGAACTGAGATCAGAGATGGTTTTAGTTTTTCCATTCCTTGTTATACAGAAAAAATCCTTTAGGCAAAAATTGTCTTTAAACAAGAATCCATATAATGGGGAGGGACCACAGCACAATTCATCATAGGATATAGTCGATCATTAATCTATCACATTGTTAGAGAATGGGATGTCAAGTCCCATGAGAGGGGTACCATGGCAATGAGATCCTGGAGTACAGAGGAGAGGGAAGGGAAAACAGTTGTGCTACTTGGCAACCTAGAGTAGAGTAAACTCAGTGCAGGCACATGATTGTGGTGGAGGGATGCATCTCCACCCCAAGAACTGCTCTTAAACTACACCACCACACACCCCCAGCCATGAAGGAAACAGATCTGCCATATAAAGGAATTTGTTCATAAGGATAAAAGCATTCAGTATGATAAAAATAAGGTATAAATTACTATTGCCCTTAAAAACCTATTTTTAAAAATTACTGGCATTGCAATGAATGGTGTGCTGTTGAGGTTCCTTCCAGCTCTGGAATTCTATGAGGAGGGTCAGCACGTCACCCTTTAGAGACCTCACTCACCCTTTAGGGTCACCCAGTGAGCAGAGCCTTGCCACAGTTGTGTTAAATTATGGGAAGCACCCTGGGCCTTGAACTTTAGGGGGCTTCCATTCTGCTTCAACCAGGCTGCAAAGGAAATTACTCACAAAAGACAGTCTATAGCCAAAAAAGGGAAGTAGCCCCATCAGCTAGTGGTTTAAAAAAAAAATCTTTAAAAGTCAGCTCATAAATCACCATTCCCCAAGGCAGAGGATGAGACAACACCCTTCACTTTGTTCTCAGATTACATGTTGGTGGCTCCATTTAATTCTACCTATGTTGATCACTGTAACTTAATCTCACTTAAAAAAATGTGTAGGAAGAATTACACCATATGATTTGCCAGTAAGTCCAGCCTAACCCCCAGGAGAAAAAAGAAGTGGATGGGCTGAGGAGGATATGGAATAGCTAATATGAGCTACATTGGAAAGAACATTTCAAGAATCAGCTTTTCTAAGACATATGAAGATAGAACCCAAGCACCTGTGCTTTTTTACTTCCTCAGCATGCTGCTTATAAATCTATACCTTTGCTCCAAAATAGCCATCCCTCCCACCAGACACACATACATAAATGCTCACACTTTTGAAATTCTTCACATATTCACACAGAAATTCCTGAATTTCATCTTTGAAATTTGAACAAGTAGAGGTTAATTTTGGTTGCCAGAAGTCCTTTTGTAAAAAGTGATCAGATAGGGGCAGCTAGGTGACGCAGTAGATAGAGCACCGACCCTGAAGTCAGGAGGACCTGAGTTCACATCTGGCCTCAGACCAAACACTTGACAGTTACTAACTGTGTGACCCTGGGCAAGTCACTTAACCCCAATTGCCTAAAAATAAAAAATAATAAAAAAATAATAAAAAGTGATCAGGAGAATGGGAAACAGCTGAAAGTTATATTTGACAAGTACCTAGCTGAATTCATCAGGCATTGAGGAGAATAGGAATTCAGGTGAAGAGAGGTTCATCTTGGAATATGATATGGTATGGAGAACTTTAGGTACAGGGATCCAGGCAGTTATGAAGTAAACTGAGGGCACTGTGAGCACAAGAGGCAAGGGCATCACAACTACTGAAAAGCTTCTTTCACTCTATTCCCCAGAGCTGCTTCCTGGCCCTATTTTAACAGTTTCCTCTCTCTTGTATCTCCCTCCTTCCTCCCAACCTCTACCATGTAAATTGGAATGACACCTAGGTCAGTCACACAAAACAGTTTACATTGCTTGTGTAGTAGAGAAGCAAAACCTTTTGTAGCCTGCAGAGTTATTGCAGAATCCATGATGAAGAGGGTACTACCCAATCTGGAACTAGCTCTTGTCTTTCTGTTCTCAGTCATGTTTGCCACATTCACGGAGTTGTCTGTCTACCTGCCTTCTTTTGAGACTTTCTCAGTCACACACCTCAGTGTATCTCCAGAGGATGCATTAGGATAAACAAGGATTAAAGTGCTCAGGTAGGGCCCAGTATCCAACATATAGCCCTCCGGGCCCTGAGATTCAGCCTGTATAAAAATGTATAGCAAAAATATTTTTAATATGATTTCCTTGCATATATAATCACTATGTAATATATTGCTATCAGGCTTGGATCAATTTAGGAGAGGCATCATGATATAGGTAGGGTGCTAGACTTTGAGGAAGACTAGTATTTGAATTCTACCTAAAACACATTAGCTGTGTGACCCTAGGCAAGTCACTTTATCCATTTGACCTTTAATTTCTTCATCTGTAAAAGAGGGATAATAATAACAACTTCTAACTCACAGGGTTGTTGAAAGGATCAAATGAGATAATCTATGCCAGGGGTGGGGAACCTATGGCTGTCAGGCCAGATGTGGCCTGTTAGGTCTTTGGGGTATGGTCTTTTGACTAAGTCCAAGTTTTACAGAGCAAATCCTTTTATTGAGAGGATTTGTTCTGTAAAGTTTGGATTCAAAGGGCTGAACTTGAAAGAAGGTAATGATTTTAATAGGCAGAGATGTAGAAGGAGTTCATTCTAGGCATAATAGGATAGCCTGTGAGAATGCAGAGATATGGGAAGGGTAGGCTGAGAATGGAAGTAAGTAGTCCAGTTTAGATAAAATATAGAACATGGAGAAGAGTAGTAGAAATAAAGTCTCAAAAGGTAGGTTGGAGCCAGGTTTAAATCTACTTGTAAACATTTTAAGGTTTGCAAAGTGCTTTACAGACAATCAGTAAAGGTTTTTAAGCAGGGAGGAAGCATGGTCAGATTATTTTGGCAACTGTTAAGTTATAGAGGGCCACATATGGCCTCGAGGCCACAGGTTCCCCATCCCGATCCAATGCAGGGCAGTTTACAGATTTTTAAAGTGCTATATAAATATGAGTTTATTAGACACTGTAAAAAAAATTAATGTAGCCAACTCTTATAGATGGCCCACTATTAAAATTTAGGCACTTCTGGAATAGGGGTTGTAGTGCATGACCTCAAAAGTCCTGTTTAAATCTGAGATTTTATGATCATTCTGACTTATTTGACCTGCCTTCCCTTCTGTATGGGAATGAAACCACAAACTGGAGTTTACCTCTGTCTTCTTCCTTCCTATCCAGGTATATTACCTTGGTGAAGGGGAGATGTCTAAAAAATGGCTGCAGCAGGAACAGAACAATATGGTAAAACTGTGTCTGAGCCAAATGAAAGCGGTTGCCAGCCATGTGGTCATCCACCACCCCAATGTGAAGCCCATTGTATGGGATGACATGCTTAGGGGCATTAGTGAAGAATGTCTCACAGGTATTGCACAACTTCAGAGTACTGATACTCATTTTCACTCTTATTGGCACAATATTTTATTAATTTTTTGGGTAATCAGCACTGTTAGTTTCTTTTTAGAGATTTTCAAAGTGTACAAAATAGCATAGTGGATTAAGGTCTGATCTTGGAGCCAGGAAGACCTGGGTTCAAGTCCTGCCTTTGGCACATACTAGTACCTCTGTAATCATGAAAAAATATTAATTTCTCCATGTGCGCAGACAACTAGCTAAGACTATAAGCTACATTGCACATCATGGAGGGTATTTTCCACATTAGGAGTTCCCCACATAACAAAATCAGAACTGGACAACAAAACCAATAAGAAGTTAAGGCAGGTTTTATTTATTCTTAGATCACAAATGTAATTGATGAATAATAAAGTCTCTTGGTTATTTATTTGTACCAAAGTATCTTATCTAGGGTAATATTTTCTTATGTATAAAAAACAAAATTTGAAATTATCCACCAAAAGAGACTATTGTGGTGGTTTTTTTTTAATGCTTTTGCAGTATTATAGAAGTGATAAATATTAACCTAGCAACCACTAGAGAGGTTGCTGCCTTTGGTAGCACTAGGAATTGGAGAATTAGAGTTTTCGATTCTAGAGGAAACCCATCTGAAAAAGGACTGTCTCAGAACACCTTAGCACCACAAAATACTCAGTAAGAACCAGTACTGTAGGGCAAAAGTTGCCAAACCTTCTCCATTTGCAGTAAATTTTTATGGTGCCTGTAGACAAAAAATAATAGTAATTAACAATTCCATTTATATATTAAGTAGTTTAGTTCAAACAGCTTAATAAGTATTTATGTCCTAACAACTTTGTAGCTATTTGGAAAAAGAATACTATAAATTGAAAGGAAAAAATAATATTTTTTAAATTTCATGCTTAAACACCCATTTTACTACTAATGGGATGTGTGCATTGGTCAGGTACTTTGCAAGTTCTCAAACTCTGGAGTCAGATTGGACGCTGCAGCCTCTGCTTTTTGTCGCAACACCTACCAAAAACTCATCTTTGCAAAGATATAATGTTGCAAACAAGAAAGTTTGAAAAAGTACTGATGTATTCTACATTAAAGGACCGCAGGGCATAGAATATAATATTCCGGAGGGCAAGGAGATAGGATTACAACCAAGAATCATCTACCCAGCAAAACTGAGTATAATCCTTCAGGGGAAAAAATGGTCATTCAGTGAAATAGAGGACTTTCAAGCATTCTTGATGAAAAGACCAGAGCTGAATAGAAAATTTGACTTTCAAATACAGGACTCAAGTGGAACATGAAGAGGTAAACAGGAAAGAGAAATCATAAGAGACTTATTAAGATTGAACTGTTTATATTCCTGCATGGAAAGATGATATTTATAACTCATGAGACCTTTGTTAGTATTAGGGTAGTTGGAGGAAAAAAATTATATGTATGTAAATGTAGATAGATAGATAGAGGGCACAGGGTGAGTTGAAGATTAAGGGGTCATATCTGGAGAATAAAATTAGGGGATGAGAGAGGATTATACTCAGAGAAGAAGAAGAAAGGGAGAGGTAGAATGGGGTAAACTATCTCACAAAAAAAACAGAAAAGAAAAGTCTCTTACAGTGGAGGGGAAACAGGGGAAGGTAAGAGAATGAGTGTATCTTATTCTCATAGGATTTGGCTTAAGGAGGGAATAACAAACACATTCAGTTGGGTGTGGAAATCTGTCTTACCCTACAGGAAAATAGGGGGAGAAGGGGACAAGAGAGCAGGGGGATGATAGAGGGGAGGGCAGATTGGGAAAGGGGGTAATCAGAAGCAAATACTTCTGAGGAGGAACAGGGTCAAAAGAAAGAATAGAATAAATGGGAGGGCAGGATAGGATTAAGGGAAATAGAGTTAGTTTTTCACAACATGTCTACTGTGGATGTGTTTTGCATAACTGCACATGTATAACCTATATTGAGTTGCTTGCCTTTTCAATGAGGGTGGGTGGGGAGGGAGGAAGAAAGAAATTTTGAAACGTAAAGTTTTAAAAACATATGTTTAAAAAAATGTTTTCACATGCTACTGGGAAATAAGAAATACGAGAAATGGGGTACAGAAGTCTATCCTGCCCTACAGGAAAATAGAAGGAGAAGGGGATAAGAGAAGGGGAGAGAGATAGAAGAGAGGACAGACTAGGGGAAAGGATATTCAGAATGCGTGCCATCTTGGGGTGGGAGCAGGGGGGAGATGGGGTATAAATTTGGAATTCAAAAACTTGTGGGAGTGAATATTGAAAGCTAAAAATAAATTCATATTAAAAAAAAGTTATTGATATAACTGAAAGTACAAATAAACAAAAACATGTTGATCATTGAAGAACATCATTGAAAAGGCCACACAATCTAACATTAAAACTATGAACTACCTTGAGCTAGTAGTTCATTAAGTGTTCAAAAGATGTCAAGTATTGCTATGTTTCCCTCCAATTTGAAGTAGTACACAGTACCCTCATGAATTCTCTGTGGCACCTCAGGGGGACTCAGTCTACAATTTGGGAAATGTAGCTGTAGGGGTTAACCATGGGGAACCCTGAGGTAATTAATACAATGACTGTTGGAAGAGTCCGCTAGGAATATAAATAGTGACAGCCCCAACACCCAGTCATATTGGGGAGCTGCTTCACGTATTGAAAGAAAAGATCTAGTTGATCCTATAAGCCCACCATCCTACTTATAGTTGCCAAAATAATCTGACCATGCTTCTCCCTGCTTAAAAACCTTTACTGATTGTCTGTAAAGCACTTTGCAAACCTTAAAATGTTTGCAAGTAGATTTAAACCTGGCTCCAACCTACCTTTTGAGACTTTATTTCTACTACTCTTCTCCATGTTCTATATCTTATCTAAACTGGACTACTTACGTCCATTCTCAGCCTACCCTTCCCATATCTCTGCATTCTCACAGGCTATCCTATTATGCCTAGAATGAACTCCTTCTACATCTCTGCCCATTAAAATCATTACCTTCTTTCAAGGTCCATTTCAAGTATCATTTCCTCCAAGAAGCCTTTCCTGATTTCCCCACGTGAAAGGACCCTCTCCCTCTGAAAATTTTCTTATAGTGCTCTACCTTTATCATATTATTTCTTACATTATATTTGCCTGTGTGTGCATTATGTGCCCTTTCTCCCTCCACCAGTAGATTATAAATTCCATAAGAACATACGCTGTATTTTTTTTTAATCTTTGTATCCGTAACACACAGCACAGGTTCATGTATATTCTTAATAATTCTTTCACTGAACTGATTACTAATGCCACATAATAGACATTTTCCCATAATTTGTATATATTTCTAGCTTCTTTCTAAGGGTTGTTTTAAAAGTTGAGTATATCACCCAGAGTCCCTGACATTTTGTTAGAAGGGTATCTTCCAAATTAATACTGACTAGCATCAATGACATTTATCAAGTAAATATTAAGCAGGGAGCTAAAAGGAATTTCTAACCCCAAGTCAGATTGAGGCTTCTGACAGAGATACTGCCTATAGCATCATGTTGAGAGATTTAAGCCTTCAGGAAATAGGTAGATGAGACTGTTGGTGGTACAAAAAGTTTGGCTTCTGATGTGAGAAGTCTTAAGAGAAGAAAAACCATTTAATGCTAAGGCTCTGAGAACAGACTGACCCTCTTTTTAAAAAAAGTTTATTTATTTTTAGTTTTCAACAATCACTTCCATAAGCTTTTGAGTTTTAAATTTTCCCCCCTTCTTCCTCACCCCCCTACCCAAGATGGCATGCATTCTGATATAGACTCTACATTCCTATTAAACATATTTTCATATTACTCATGTTGTAAATTAGATTTAGAACAAATAGAAGGAAGCACAAGAAAGAAGAAAAAAACAAAACAGCAATTAAAAAAAGAACAAATAGTATGTTTCAATCTGCATTCAAACTCCATAGTTCTTTCTCTGGATGTGGATAGCATTTTCCATCACGAGGCTTTTGGAGTTGTCTTAGACCCAATGTGACTGTTACTGTGTACAAACTTCTCCTGGTTCTGCTCACTTCACTCAGCACCAGTCCATACAAGTCTTTCCAGGTTTGTCTGAATTCCACTTCCTCATCATTTCTTATAGCACAGTAGTATTCCATTTACCTTCATATACCATAGCTTGTTTGGCCATTCCCCAATTGATGGACATACCCTCAAGTTTCACTTTTGCCATCACAGAAAGAGCTATTATAAATATTTTTGTACATGTGGGTCCTTTTCCCATTTTTATGATCTCTTTGGGATGTAGCCCTAGAAGTGATATTGCTGTGGGACAAAGGGTATGAACTATTTTATAGCCCTCTTGACATAGTTCCAGATTGTTCTCTAGAATGGTTGGATCAGTTCACAACTCCACCAGCAATGCATTAGTGTTCCAATTTTCCCACATTTTCTCCAGCGTTTATTGTTTTCTTGTTTTGTCATGTTAGCCAGTCTGATAGGTGTGATGTGGTACCTCAGAGCTGTTTTGATTTGCAGTTCTCTAACCAATAGTGATTTAGAGCATTTTTTCATATTACTATAGATAGCGTTCGTTTCTTCCTCTGCAAAATGCCTGTTCATATCTTTTGACCATTTATCAATTGGGGAATGACTATTATTCTTATAAATGCGACTCAGTTCTCTATATAGTTTAGAAATAAGGCCTTTATCAGAGACAGACACTAGCTGTAAAACTTGTTTCCCAGCTTTCTGCTTCCCTCCTAATCTTGGTTGCATTGGCTTTGCTTAAAGTGCAAAAACTTTTCAGTTTAATGTAATCAAAGTCATCCATTTTGCATTTCATGATGTTCTCTATCTCTTTTTTGGTCATAAATTCTTCCCTTCTCCATAGATCTGATAGGTAAACTATTCTTTTTTCTCCTAGTTTGCTTATAGTATTAGTCTTTATATCTAAATCATGTGCCCATTTTGATTTTATCTTGGTATAGGGTATAAGATTTTGGTCTATGCCTAGTTTCTGCCATGCTATTTTCCAGTTTTCCCAGCAGTTTTTGTTAAATAGTGAATTCTTATCCTAGAAGTTGTAGTCTTTGGATTTTTGAAATAGTTGATTTCTATAGTCTGACTGTTGTTTCTTGCATCCCTAACCTACTCCATTGATCCACCACTCTATTTCTTAGTCATTACCAAGTAGCTTTGATGATTGCTGCTTTATAATACAATTTAAGATCTGGTACAGCTAGGCCACCTTCCCTTGCATTTCTTTTCATTAGTTCCCTTGATATTGTAGACCTTTTGTTCTTCCAGATAAATTTTGTTATTGTTTTTTCTAGCTCTACAAATAATTTTCTCAGAGCCTAGCACAGTACCTGACATATAGCAGTTTTTCAATGAGTGTTAATTTGATTCATTTAAATGGATAGTTTAATTTTTGAAGGAACCTGGTTTATGCATTAACTATGAGAAATAAAGATGAGAGAAATTGAAAATTAAGGGCTTATGTTCTTTAAGGCTTCTACCATTTTAAGTACTTGATCCTACCTTCCATATACTATTAAAACATCTATTGTGGATATAGCTCAGATCATAAATCCTTTCTCATTTGTCCTTGTAACATTTTTGCTTTTTTCCAGAATCTGGAATAGCACAGCTGGTAGAGCCAATGATCTGGGACTATGTTGAAGACATGGATGTACATGCAAAGGGTGAGTACTGTTTGGCTGAGTAACTCACATATGAATGTTCTTTTTAATTTATTCCTTCGAAGAGTGTATTTTGTAGTGGAATAGAGTTTGTGTCTAAATCACTGAAAGAATGTTAAATTATCTCTCTCATGTATGAGCAAACCAGTTACTTCCGTTCCATGACATTTCATCTCTTTAGTGAGGTAAAACTCTCCTTATTAATTATATAACCTTAGTTCTGTACTTTTGGGCAGAATCAACAGTGGATGGAAGTTGCAAATTTAGGTTTGATAAAAGGAAAAGCTTCCTAATAATTAGTGCTGTTCAGAAATGGGATAGTCTCATCGGAGAATTTTGAAGCAAATATTGGATGACCGCTTGTTGGGCGTGTTGCTGTGGGGATTTTGTGAAGGCTGAGCACCTAATTACTTTGGTTGATCACAGCACAGTGCTAAAAGAGAACAGTGCTGGATATTTCATCTCTACATGTGAATCAGAAAAAGCTGGTATTCACAGGCATAGATGCCATCCACCACTAACTCTCCATGGGAGCTAGGAAATTGAATCCCTCTGTTCTTTTTGTTTCTAGTTCTCCTCATGGATAAGTACAGGAAATGTGGTTTCCCTAAACTGTGGGTAGCCAGTGCTTTTAAAGGTGCCACAGGGGTGAATCAATCTTTGACCGTTATTAGCCATCACCTCAAAAATAACATCCAGTGGTTGAAAGTGGCAGACAGTGGACCTGCTGAGATGCTGCAAGGAATCGTTCTAACTGGTTGGCAAAGGTAAAGGAACTATGAAAGTGGCTCTAGCTGAATTGCCTGATATGTGAACAACACATAACTGAAGATGCTCTCTAGTTATGGAGGGAATAAAGGTGTCTCAAGCAACTAGGAATAAAAACTGCTGCCTTCTTTGTCATTGGCAACTGTCCAGGTTCTATCTAACTCATCTCCCTGAGAGGAGGTGTCTTATGGATGCTGGAAGGCTAAGACCTATAAAGAATATGGGATTTCTGGGTTCCTTTGCAACAAATGGTAAATGGACAAGGGTCTTCTACCTTAGCTTTTATACTTTCTTTTTTTTTTTTTTGAATCACAACTTATGATTTCATCAGTACAGGCAACTCTTGGTATGAAACTCCCTCTACCAATACAGACTGACAATTCATCAGTAATTCATAGTCTGAGAGATTTGCCATCACTCAGCCAGGATATGCCAGAGGTGGGATTTAAATCAAAGTGTTTCTATTCCAGAGTTACCTGTCTCTGCCTTGTTTTCATATTCTAGCCAAGTAATAGGACCAAGGTTTGAGAAGACAGATCTTTTTCAGTATATGAAGGATCTTTCTATTTATTCAAATAAATAAAATAACATTACTGCTTTTCAGTGAATTACACCCTATTACTGAACCTGAAATTTTTTACTAGCTCTTGATTCTCAGCCTTCACATCTATTAGGTAGACAAGTGAAAAGAATTATTCCACCCATTCTACATTGACAAAGCTGGTTGGTGGCATATAAGGAACTGGCACCTAGGTCATCTGATCTGTGTTCCAAGGTTCTTTCCACATCACACTTCCTCCTATTACTTGTGCTTATTTATCAAGAAATAAAAGTAACATATACAGCATCTAATTTTTTAAAATAGCCATTGCTTTTGATGACGTACAAATAGAATAACATTGGCCTTCCCAGAAATTTAAAGCTTTTTTTTTCTTTCCACTGGCAAACAGAAATAGATAGGTTCAATGGACAGTGTCCTCTTGCCTTACTGAAGTGGTCTGTAGTCCCTCAAAAGTTTAAGAACCCTAGAGTGTCTCTTGTAGTATGCTAGTAAAAAAAAAAAGTACAGAAAATGCCCTTAAAACGTATATTCTCCATCACTTTCTTAAGTCTAGATAATCAAAAAACCATAAATGAAGCCCTGATTTGTATTGTTTGTCAATTTCCTAAGTTTAAATGAGCCCTGAAAATTAACAATGGACTCTTTCTATGGCACAGAGACCACTTACTCAAAAATAAAAACAAAGACTTAGATACCTTGAAAGTAAAAAGGAGTTTATTGCTTTCTCATGAGAAAGGGTACCCTCTTAGTCGCCATTTCAGGCCAGGAGAGTACAAGTTCCTTACAGAAGTAAAGGCTTATTTATATCCTAATGCGAGCTCCTCCTCCCTAACCCCCTTCCCCTTATCCCATTGGCTGGGCTGGGGGGTGGGGGATGGGGGCACAGTCTTTTCACAGAAATCTAGAACAAAGGTAGTTACACAAGTTTGCCCAGAGACAAGAAACGGTGGGAAGTTTTTGCAAGGGCAAACAGTTTAGGTTGGGGGCAGGGCTTACTCTTTCTGCTAAGCATTTAAAAGAAACGGGGTCTGAGTGAGGGAGGGTTTTGAAAGCATCAATAAATATTAACAAGAACCATTGATTCCCTGAGGAGGCTTCACGTCTGAGAGATAATCTCTCACATAATGGACTCTTTCTAGAGCTGGCTCCAGCACACTACTGAGTGTGTCCTATACTTTCCTGGTTCCCCGCACCCCAACCCCCCCAGTGAGATCTTAAGTTCCTTGAAGGTAGAAACCATGTATTCTCACACCCTCATAGCAACATGCACAGTGCTGGGCACATAGGAGACTCTCCATAAATATTTATTGGGTTGAATTGATTGTCCCTTTAAATAGTAGCTATACTTCCCATGGACACAAACATACCCCTAAGTCTATCTCCAGATGGAGTGGAGATAAAGAGGTCTAGGACTTTCGGGGTGCTGGGACCCCAAGATCGCGGTACTGGGCGCTGCTGAATGAATTCAACTCAAATCTTCAGCCACAGGAAAAGTTTATTAGTGATAAATCACATCGGCCAGGTGACGCCCGTAAAAACAAGCGGGCATGAGAGGTTCTCAGCCTTGTGGGCCTGAGATTCTCAGCTGAGTGACGCCCTAAAGACGAGTGGGCATGAGAGATTCTCAGCCTTTTGAGCATGAGATTCTCAGCATCTGAGTGAGGGCCAAGGTGGATCTTAAATACTAAAGTAACTTTGGGTGGCCAGAGAAGGGGATTGGGAAAAGGGTCTAGGTAACAATTCTAATTGGGGAGGTCAGAGAGATTGAATAGACAATGGGAATAGATAATGGAGGGAACGGAAGGCAGAAGTTTGAAAGGCATCTGCACAAAATCAAGGTGGGGCTAGGACTTTCAAAAGGAGATGAAGGAAGGCCTTTCTGGGGCCTGTAGACAAAAGGGAGCCTAAGGCTTTCAAAGGGAGATGAGGGGAGTCGATTAGGAAATTTGAAGGTTTAAGGGTTTTCTGGGTCCCATAGACAAACAGGAGCCAGATTCTATTCAGGGCAAGGGTGAAGGTGCATCTGAATAAGATCTAAACATAAGCTAGGGCTTTCAAGGGAGATGAGGGTCTGGGTCTGTGAGTCAGATTCCCTTTGGGGCAAAGGGTGAAGATCTTGGCTTGGGCCCCGCCCCCATCAGAGAGGTTTATATGGCCAATTATGCAGCCTCAAGTCTGTTGTAGGTAGATGTTTTTCTTCATAGCAAGCTCAAAGCAGTAACTGAATGCTATCTTACTAGTGTCCACAAACATCTTTTTGAGGGAGGAGATAGTCTGATTTCACTAAATTCATAGAAATCAAGTTTCATTCCAGTTCTTCTAACAAGTTAGATAAGTTTTTCATTGGCTGAGGTCTAAGAGTTGAATGATCTGTCTTGAGATATAGAGAGTTCCTCATCATACAAAGCCAGATGACCAAGTGGTTAGATACCTTGTAGAAGGAATTATTCAGGTATAAGTTGGCATCAGTGACTTGTAGGCAATTTCAACTCTAATATTTTATGTCTGGGAACTATCAGCAAGGAGAAGTGAACCTAACCTTTAGCAAGTGATAAGGTGGAGCTGTAAATAAAAACCATGTACTCTAAGACTAGTGAAGGCAGGAAAATCACACCTTCAAATCTAACTACCATCCCCTACCTCTACTTGGTCACTTTTGTGACTTTCCTATCCTGCCTTCCTAATTTGGAAGTGGACTGCTCCTCCATCCTTTTCCAGAGGCATATGAACTTTAAGAGACATTCAATTCAAATCAAGCTTTTTAGAAGTTTAAATGCCCACAGGCCATTGCTGAAGTAGCATTCTGGCATGACAATGTTTGAAACATCTGAGGTTTCTTGAAGACCTCATATCAGCACAAAAGAAAAGCCCCATTTTCCTAGGGTTTTTTGTTTGTTTGTTTGGGGGTGATTTATTTTGTTTTATTTCATCCTTTCAAACTCAACTTCATCCAGCTGCCCCCATGTGGTGTTTTGTTTTCTTTTCTTTTGGTGAGGCTGTAATGCAGAACATTATTTTACCATTTGGGTAGTAGAACCCTTTAGGCCATGGAAAACTCCAAATTCCTTAGCAAGACCCTTATCTGGCTGCTCAGGCTCCAGCCCTCAGATCATGTCTCTGGAAACCTCCAAATTCCTTAGCAAGATCCTTATCTGGCTGCTCAGGCCACAGCCCTCAGATCATATCTCTGGAAGCCTCCATTGTGAGAAAGTTTGCAGAGCATTATCATATCTACACAGAGGGAGAAGGGTGTCCTTGACCAGCCCCCCCCCCAAAAAAAACCTCTTCCTCTTGCCAGACTTCAAAGATGCATCCCCCTCCCTGTCCTGTATACTCCCTATATAAACCCTAGCTCAACCCCTGATGGGGGCTGCTTGATTTGGATGTGAATATCCCTGGCAGCCGCGCGCTAATAAAGTCCACAATTTGAAATTAGCTTGGGTCCTCAGCTCGCTCATTTCTCGGTATAACAAGGCGATTGGGGTTAAGTGACTTGCCCAGGGTCACATAGGTAGTGAGTGTTATGAGTCTGAGGTCGGATTTGAACTTCGGTCCTCCTGACTAACCTCTATCCACTGTGCCACCTAGCTGCCCCAAAATAAATCAATTTTAAGAATATATGAGTAGGGGCAGCTAGGTAGCTAGTTCAAATCCGGCCTCAGACACTTGACACTTAATAGCTGTGTGACCCTGATTGCCTCACCAAAAAGTAAAACAAACAAACAAACAAAAATGTGTAAGAGTAATGATCTATGCAAAGCAGGGTTTGAAGAGGGATGGGACAACATGCAGACCACACTTCTTTGCAGGAGAGCCTAAAACTATCTTGTTTTAACCTTCCATCTCAAATGCTAGAGTTGCAGAGTAGTATAATGGGGGAAAAGGAAGTGCAAATTCTGCCTCAGGCACAAATTGTCCTTGTGACCCTGGGCAAGCTGAATAACCTTTCAGTGCTCAGTGCTCTAGGCATCTCTAAATTTCAGAAAAAGTGCAACTTGCACTGGTGGAAGGAGCTTCTTACCTAGGAGTTATCTTTTTAATCTAAGAAATCACAGGTCCAATGTCTGTCCCTATCTCTTCGAATGCTGATGAAAGGTAACTTTAACCATTCCCAAATAAAGCAGCCAAATTGATGCAGTTGGGAAATTTATTAATTACTATAACTCTTTAACCCCATCAATCCATTACCAATTTGCTAAAGTGGTTTGGGTCACATGTTCAATTCTAAATAAAAGCTTTAGGTGGCAGATTTATTTAAAGCCTTAAGTCATATGCTAATTTAATTTGCATAGCTTTGTTAGAGGACTAACATCCTCTATATGTCGCCTACATCCTGGGGAAAAATCCAAGAGGCAAATAGTAAACTGTTACTGAAGGCTCAGGACCAGTGATTCCAGATTAATCACTTGGGACAATTTTCATTTTAATCTTATGAGA